GGCAGATCGCACATACCTTGAGAATCGATTCTTGGATTTAATAGAGTGCAAAAATATTTTGCGCTGTTTTTGCACCCAAGCGTTAACCACCAACAAGCCCAACTTACGCTTCTAGAGCATTCTATATTTGAGGAATTTATTTTGTGCGAAGTATGAGGTATGAGGAAGCCAATCAATGAGCTAGCACTGAGAGGGAAAGTACAGGAATTCAGCGTGTCGCTGCAGAACAGGTACTCGGCTCTTAGTGAGGAAACCAACCTTAGCGTAGATACAATGAATGATAATCTGACGAGTATCATTATGGAGTGTGCAGTGGAAGTTGGAGGCAGGGTAGTTAGACAGGACACTGGCAAGCTTTCCCAGGAAACGAAGAACCTAATTAAGAAGCGTCAAACCATGAAAGTGTCAAGTACAACAGACGGAATAGAACTGGCAGAGCTTTCGAAGTTCATTATTAGACGTAAAGTATGCGATGTAAGAAGGTATAACATGGAGAGAATTTAAAACGCTCTGAAAAACGGAGGAAGCGTCAAAGCAGTGAAGAGGAAACTTGGGATAGGCAAAAGTGGGACGTATGCATTAAGAGACAAAGAAGGCAAAATAACTACCAATATGGATAGAATAGTTAAAATAGCGGAGGAGTTTTACAGAGATCTGTACAGTAGCCGAGACAACCACGACCTTAATACTATAAGAACTAGCAGTAACCCAGATGACACCCCACCAGTAATGATAGAAGAAGTCAACAAAGCTTTGGAGAGCATGCAAAGAGGCAAAGCTGCTGGTGAGGATCAGGTAACATCAGATCTGCTGAAAGATGGAGGACAGATTGTGTTAGAAAAACTAGCCACCCTGTTTACGAGGTGTCTCCTGACGGGAAGGGTACCAGAGTCTTGGAAAAACGCTAACTTCATCTTAATACATAAGAAAGGAGATGACAAAGACTTGAAGAATTACAGGCCGATCAGCTTGCTCTCTGTAGTATACAAGCTATTTACAAAGGTGATTGCTAACAGAGTAAAGAAAACACTAGAATTCAATAAACCAAATGAACAAGAAGGATTTTGAACAGGCTACTCAACAATCGACCACATTTATACTATCAATCAGGTAATAGAGAAATTCTCAGAATATAACCAACCACTATACATAGCCTTGATAGATTACGAGAAGGCGTTTGATTCAGTAGAAATATCAGCCGTCATGCAGACACTGCGGAATAAGGGCGTCGATGAAGTATATATAAACATTCTGGAAGAAATCTACAGGGGATCAACTGCTACCATAGTGCTTCATAAAGAAAGCAACAGAATACCAATCAAGAAGGGTGTAAGGCAGGAGGACACAATCTCCCCAATGCTATTTACCGCGTGCTTCAGGAGGTTTTCAGAAGCCTAGAATGGGAACAGTTAGGGATAAGAGTTAATGAAGAATACCTTAGTAACCTGCGCTTCACCGATGACATTGCATTGCTGAGTAACTCAGGGGACGAATTGCAACTCATGATTACGGAGTTACACAGGGAGAGCAGAAAGGTTGGTCTTAAAATTAATCTGCAGAAAACGAAAGTAATGTACAACAACCTCGGAAAAAAACAGCGCTTCGAGATAGGTAATAGTGCACTTGAAGTTGTAAAAGACTATGTCTACTTAGGGCAGGTAATAACCGCGGAGCCGAACCACGAGATTAAAGTAACTAGAAGAATAAAAATGGGGTGGAGCACATTCGGCAAGCAGTCTCAAATTATAACAGGTAGATTGCCACTATCCCTCAAGAGGAAGGTGTATAACAGCTGTATCTTGCCGGTACTTAGCTACGGAGCGGAAACCTGGAGACTTACAAAGAGGGTTCAGCTTAAATTGAGGACGACGCAGCGAGCAATGGAAAGAAAAATGGTAGGTGTAACCTTAAGAGACAAGAAGAGAGCAGGGGACAAACGGGGGTTAAGGATATCATAGTTGAAATAAAGAAGAGGAAATGGACAAGGGCCGGGCATGTAGCGCGTAGACAGGATAACCGCTGGTCATTAAGGGTAACTAACTGGATTCCCAGAGAAGGGAAGTCGGTTAGGGGGAGACAGAATGTTAGGTGGGCAGACGAGATTAAGAAGTTTGCGGGTATAAATTGGCAGCAGCAAGCACAGGACCGGGTTAACTGGCGGAACATGGGAGAGGCCTTTGTCCTGCAGGGGACGTAGTCAGGCTGATGATGATGATGATGATGATGATGATGATGATGATGATGATGATGAAGTATGAGGATAGATTGCGGTTTTGTTGTCGCGTTACGAAGTGGCGCAAAAGATATGTGTAAATGCATGCACAGACATGCGTTAAACAGCCACATATTATTTATAAAAGCAGTAGTTTATAGATGCGTAGATGCCAGCAGCAACATGGATATTAGCCACGCCAGAAGCGGTAAGCTGATCTGAAGTGCTGGTGCTCACGAGGATTGTAGCCATCAATATTGCTACATAAATAAACTTAAGCGGATGGTGCCTAAGTCAAGTTGACGTTAACTGATGTACAGCTGATGTTAACTGATGGCTGTATCATAGAAGTACATATGCAATGTTTATAAAATTGGATAGCCAGCACAGCGACAACAATTGACATTTACCGAACATGCGGGTCTATTTGAAAAGTACCTCCGAGACCCGGCGTCTGGGCTGTGTGGTAGAATAGTTGATTACCACGCAGAATGCCCGGAATTCAATTCCTGCTGGTACCTAAACATTTACGCATTGCTTTGTAGAGTCAACGCTGCCGATGTCCGTTTTTTTTTAAACGCCCATGGGTTAACATTACCAATGTCCGTTCTCGTCGTTCCTGGGTTGATGTAAACTGTTGATCACCTGTGGCCCGCAAACCTGTGGCACATACCCACCCATGAGTATGTGTCACACGGTATTTTGACAATACCTATGTCATGACCAGCTAGTCATGTTTGCCAAATAATGTTAACCTCTCATACCAATTTTGGTTTACATAATGCATAAAGAGGTCAACACGACAACACGCTGACGTAGGCGGCTAAGTAGATAGAGAGACGCTCAAAGCCCCGCCGCGGTGGTCTAGTGGCTAAGGTACTCGGCTGCTGACCCGCAGGTCGTGGGATCGAATCCCGGCTGCGGCGACTGCATTTCCGATGGAGGCGGAAATGTTGTAGGCGCGTGTGCTCAGATTTGGGCGCACGTTAAAGAACCCAAGGTATGGAGGCGGAAATGTTGTAGGCCCGTGTGCTCAGATTTGGGTGCACGTTAAAGAACCCCAGGTGGTCGAAATTTCCGGAGCCCTCCACTACGGCTTCTCTCATAATCATATGGTGGTTTTGGGACGTTAAGCCCCCCATATCAATCAAATCAATTAAAGAACCCCAGGTGGTCGAAATTTCTGGAGCCCTCCACTACGGCGTCTCTCATAATGGTGGTTTTGGGACGTTAAACCCCACAAATCAATCAAAATCAGAGAGACGCTCAAATCGTCTGCCGGGCGCAAATAATTGCTTCTCACTCAATTTAAAACAAAAACAAAATGCAGAGGCTGTGTCTCGTATCGCATTCACACGTGGGGGCCGCTTTTCCGTCGATGGTATTGCCGATGGTACCATCCTACCATCGCTTGAAGTTATTCGCAGTCACCTTTAATCCGTTCAAGCAACCTTCATGTGTCAGCAGTCTTTGATTTTCAACTTACATTTGCGGGCACCATAAACCTCGCGTGTTAGGCGGCAAACACGTGTTATTTTTTTTATTCAGCGCTCTTCTAACAACATTTGGAAAAATATTAGGCAGCGCAGTCACGTGAATACGCATTAAAATTTCATTATTTTTTGATAAACACGTGTTATTTTTTTATTTAGCGCTCTTCTAACGAAATTTAGAAAAATATTAGGCAGCGCAGTCACGTGAATACGCATTAAAATTTTATTGTTTTTTTGATAATTGCTACAAATTTTGTGTGAAAGTTTTTCTCTAGAGCCAGCATTTCAAAAGTTTATTAGGCAATTTTAGGCTAATTGCTAAGCTTGGCTGACCACAAATACATTCTGACGTGCATATGGCTCAGAATAATACAGCGCTACACGGAAAGGCGCAGCGCTAACGTTTATTTATTACTCACTTGGTTATTTTTAGCTGATGCATTCCTGTGCAAAAGGGTCTATAAATACTAAAGGGTGTACATTCAGCATTTTTCGAACGTAGGTTTGCACTGCCCTACAGATATCTGTATACCAATACATCTCCGAGCATATGTATGTATAGGGCTCAGGAAATGCTGCTAAAATATTTCACTTTGATATTCAGGCGAATTTTCTCATGGCCCAACAACTGAAATTAACGTTAGTTTGACGTCCGGCTACAGTAGTAATTCTGGTGACTTCAAGCAGCAATCTGACAAGCTGTGATAACATCAGGCACTGATAGCATCATAATGGCTGCTTGTACATCATCGAAACATGCAAAATGGACACTTGGGCGCCACCAAAAGAACCACAGTGCGGAGCAGCTGTGTAAAGGTCCCAATATTTTGGGCGAGTACGCGACGAGAAGTAAATATCGTTTTTTTTTTTTACGCCAGGCTACAGTAGGAACAGAAAGCTTTCAAGAACATACTCTAGTTACTTTTTCCGGGTGCTTTCAGGCTTATGAGTTAATAGATTTGTAGGCTTTTGGGGTTTCGGCCTTTCATTTCACGCAAAAAGTACTGAAAATTTTCGTGCAAGTACACCTTTAAAGCAGGTAGTATACGCTTATTGTTTAAAACGCTCAGTGATCATAGCTCGCATATGCAAGTATATGTCTTCAGGTGTGATGATAAATCTCGTGTTACGCGTTCCCAGCGTCTCATCTTACGATGATACGGTGATGTCAGTCTGCTGATCTTACCACCACCTAATAAAGTAACACTCCTGTCTTTTCAGACCGGGTGAAAAGAAAAGTAAACCTCGGAAAAAAGGCAGCTGCTTTGGTGTCCAAGCTTGCCTGATAAAAAAAAAAAAGCTCACACCAACCACATTAAGAAATGGACAACGCAGCCTTCGAAGGCAGTGGTGCAGCTTTGCACGAGCCTGTAGTCCGACGGCGGGCTCTGATACAAAGAAGCTTACGCCTGCAGCCAGAGGAGCAGCGGTTCCTGGATGCGGTGCGGGATGGCGACATACTCGGATTGAGATCCGTGATTCAGGTAAGGAAGATATATGCTCATTTCGAGGGAGGCTAAAGAGGACTATGATACTGTTAGAAAAATATTGCGAAAAAATGGACATTACTTTTGGCAACGTCCTAAACGTCATACCATTGTCTGCAAAGAAATTTGCTAATTGAACATGTTGGAGATATTTAGATCTGTATCTCCCGTGAAATTTGGAGTAGAGCCACGCAAGCCCAGGAAGACAACCGCAATTTATATTGGTCTGGCATGCTTGTGAAAGTAGTGCCGCCATTAGCCAAATTAGAAATGTCCAAAATTCGCATTAATTAGGGATTGTAAAATATTCATTCCGGCTTAATGCAGCAGTTATAAACGGAATGACTTAGACGTTCCTACTCTTTTGCAGGTAAATTCCTCGGTACACACTTACGAAAAATTTGCCGAGTCCACCAGTCATATATATCTCTGTAGGCGTTCTGAGGGGGGGGGGGATGCGTGATTATTGTTGAAAGCCGATGCGTTGTTACGAATGAACCGCTATTACACCAGTTTTCTTTTCCCCCGCCTGCGTTCACGAGCGAGCGTCGTTGCTTTTTTTTATGTCGAAGCAACTACTACAAGCACCCTTCTTGGTACCCACTGCGCCTTAAATAGTCATAATTTTTTTCATAGTAGCCCAGCATTCACTATGCTATCACTTGTCATTCTTTGGAGAAGCGTTTTATCCACTGCACAGTTGTTAGGAATTTCGTGCAATTGTTTATGCAGTGCCTGATGACGATGAACATTTATGCCTGAAATGGATATGGGCCACAGCTAATAGGTAATCAAGAACTAGTATTCTAATGGGCTGAAGCATTGGACGACCCACTAATTAAACAATTCACATTGTGTGACGCTTGGCTGTTCCTTTGATGTTCAAAAGTATTTTATTACTCATATTAACGCGATTCCTTTCCAGACATTAGGCCTGCCTAAGGCCAGTTTACGAACGAGTTCCAAGCACTGGTGTGGCTCAGTGGTAGAATACTGGGCTGGCACGCAGAGGACCTGCGTTTGAACTCCATTGTGTCATTGGTGTTTCTTTATTTGCTGCGTTTTTTTAGGGGCTAACCTCCTTACGCCGTGGGCCGTGCATTCATGTTTGAAATTTGTAGTAGTAGCCGCCTCTCGTTTAGTGCTTAGAACGTCCGATGAATGGCGGTATTTGTATATGATGAATATATGATGAAAAAATGCGAGATGGTGGCACAAGTGTTCTCTAGACATGCGGACGGACGCACAAACGGTCGCACGGATAGATGGTCACACGGACGGATTCACGGATGGACGGATGAACGCACAATCAAAAGCATGGACGGATGCATAGGCGGTAACACGGACAGGTTCACGGATGAACTGATGGACGCTTCGCCCCACTCATCATCATTCACTCCGTAGATATGCTGTGATTTTTTTACTAGCAGAAGCAGCCTGCATCGGCATTGCGAGGTGAGATTGGGAAAGGGGAGCGACAGTTTTGCGGGTGTCTTCCTGGGCTGGCACGAGACCTGAGACACGAGCATACACAGTGGGGGTAAAGACGGCGCCTCCACGGAGGCCGAAATGTCACATCGTCTGCCTAAGGAATGCTCGGCATTTAATAATCAAACGAAACTCTGCCGCCATAGGGAGCACATTTACTTATGCTAAAATTAACAGTTCACGTATAGCTTTTTAAAGGGCCACTCACCAGGTCCCATACCAAATTTTAGTTAGACCGTGGCAGTTGTTGGGTGTCTGATGTGGAACATTTTGCCACAAAAGTTTTGCGATTCGGTTTATTACGAACTGAGAAAACAGTTATTTTTTAAGCGGCGCGAAACGAGGATGAAAGGAGGTGATCTCGATACGCTTGCCGCTCCTCCGCGCAGCCTTCGCAAGCCAAAGCTCTTTCTTACCCTCTCTGGCATTCGACCAAAAGGTCACGTGCGCAGTACGTGCCCGAACAAGCCAAACCCCCGTGCACACTACTGACGTTTTTTTTTCCTTTTTTTTTGCCCATCGTTGTTTTGAAGTGTACTGCCCATTTCTGTGGGCTGGCTTGAAAACGCTGGCTTGGACATGGTAGAATAGATCAGCACAATGAGTGCGTGAACGCGTACGAGCGTTCCACGGCTGTCGTCTGCTCGATGCGCTGACCGCGGGGACACGAACGCATGTGAAACGCCGACACGTTAGCCGCGCATCTCGTTGCAGTTCACGCGGAAAAAATGAAGAAAAAAATAACGCTCACAATCCCTTATTGCATCTCATTATTTATCTAGAGACCTATTATTCTCATCATACAACAAATACCTAAACTACGCAAGTCGTGTTAAACAATTTTCGCCATGTCACGTGCCACTGTTGGCAACGTCAGAGCATAGTCGTCTGCATAGAGGACCAACGTCATTGCATTTCCGTGTACGTAGTGCCATTCATACGCACATGTCATGCCCTCATTCTCAGGACGCACGCCCACAAAAGGAAGGGAGAGCAGCGTTCATCTTGAAATTTGACGCATTTGCGTGGCGCGTAGCATTTCAAATTTTGGCATCATTTTCACTGGTATAGCGCACCACGACAAGGACACACACAAAGGAGAGATGTACACACACACAGCGCTAACTTGCAACTAATGTTTTATTTGCGATCACACACGCTGTTTATACAACGGTAGACCGATAAAACTTGGATAATGTCACGTCAACAATACAGCACAGCCCATGCACGTGTCATCACCGATAGCGACAATCTACACTAGCCCTAGACTAGACTTTCTTGCAGGCAAGGAAAACGCAGACCTTTTAGCTTTTTCGATCGACGTTAAGGACCTTTATTACACCCTCCCTCAGGCAGAGTTGATGGCGTGTGTATCGGAAGGTATAGACAGAGTAGGAGGGGTTGATTTTCAAAATACTGCCGGTCTGTCAAGTGATCAGTTTTTAGAGCTCCTTTACTTTTATCTTAACTCGACCTAATGACCGCCAGGGGGCTCGAAGCAGTGCAGACGCGCTCGCTTCGCGCTCTGGATTCTCATGATTTTTAGTGGTGTTTTCCGTCTGCAACCACTCGAAAACGTTACTATCAGCTTCAAGAAGTTCCGAGGAACGCCTGGGCACCACTCAAGAGGATTTCTTGCCACTTGGAGGTGCCAAAGGACTTCAGAAAGCTCGTCACCCCTAGGACGCTCACCAAACGCTGACCTGGGGAGCCGCCGGCAGCTGCACCGACGCTGGGGACGCCCGCGTCGAAGCTTCATCCAGCTATGGCTCTCAACGCGGCGACCGACCAACAATACTACCTCCTAGACCAGGATGGTACAGCAGACCACCAAATGGATCAACTCCAGGGCGACCACGATACGGTGAGCCGAGACGCTATCGGCACTCAATCGCATGCAGAAGAGGACGCTAGCTGGCAGGCAGCGAAATCCACCAAAAAACGCAAGCAAGGGGCACTGGAGCGGAGGCGCGGCAGCGCAGGGCTCCAGGACCAAGTTAAGACAGGCACGCCAACATTCAAGAAATTGCCAAAGCTATCGCCGTTGCCGAAGGACGATTACAAGATCGTCATTCGTCCAAACCAGGGCCTCCCGCTGAGAAACATTCTGACTCCTACGCTTGCGCAAGCAATCATCGAGGCATGCCAAGCTGGCATCAGAGATGACCATTTCATCCTTAGAATCAACCCAGGGTCAAACATAGCGATTCTATCGACCAAATATGAGGAAGTGGCAGACAAAGTGCGTCAGATACGCGCCCTTGTGCTTAACGGCAGGGCTCACGCTGTCCGTGCCTACGCCGCAAATGGAGACGATACTTTGAGAGGGGTGATTCACGGCGTACCGATGAACACCTCAACCGAAACTCTCATGGCGCACCTACGTGTCAGAACGCACGGTGTGGAGATCATCACTGCCAGAATGATAGGCACAATGAAAAGTGCAGCCATTACATTTTTCGGTCCAACGCTACCTCGTACCGTCTACTATTACGGGGGTGAACTCCGGTGCTACCCCTTCCGACCTACGATTCAAGTCTGCAAGGTCTGCCGAGAAAAAGGACACCGCGCGGACGTTTGCCCGCATCCGGATCGCCCCATTTGCCGGCTGTGCGGACTGACTAATCCAACGGATGGACATCCATGTTCTATTAGTTGCGCCTCGTGCGGGGAGGCTCACCCCACAGGAGATCCAACTTGCAAAAAAAGACTTAAGCCGCCGAAGCCTAAACAGCCGCAAGTACAAGCAGGCTACAGTGATAAGCTTCAACAGGGCACTAGCAACGACCCACCGAGGACCAAGAATCTCCGCTGGTTCTCCTCCGAAGAGGAAGAAAACGCCTACAAGTCAGCCGATGACAAGCACAGTTCCCGGTTGCATTCACGGTCCCCGGGCAGAAAGCCGCACTCGCCATCCAAGAAGAGCGCGCCAGCACCGACTCAGCAGAACCTCCACCGCGGTCCTCCAGGAGGGGGAGCCAAAGGCAACGGCGGGGATCAAGGATGCACCCAACAGGCATCATCACTTCCGGTAAGCTGGGCGGAAGCCGTGGCTCCCAAGTCTGCATGTACTCCCCCCATCACACAAAACGTACACTATCAAGCAGTAATCGCTGAAAACAAACAGCTTAAGCAACGCCTTGACAAATACGAGAACAAAATAATGTGGCTCAAAGAACAGCTGGCCCAATTAATGGGAGCCACTCCGAAAACTACAGTCCAGGCCTCTCAAAATCTAACTAGCCACCAAAGCGAAAAGCTACGGGACAATGGGCACATCCAACCGCAATCGACACCACCACGAGATCCTGTAGCCAATATAGGAACGGAACAAACAGCGACAAACCTCACTTTACAACAGCAACTGCAGCTAATGCAACAGCACATACTGCAGCAAACAGAAGCCCAAATGAAACAGTTCTTTGTCGAATTTCATGACCTGAAGCGATACGTTCATGAAAGCCTCGACAAAGAAACGAAGCGTCGACGTAAGCAGAGCCAACCGTGGT